CCTGATCCACTTGCAGCATCTTTAGGATTATTTGGAAAATAACACGCAGAAAAAGCTCTCAGGAGGCGGCGGGGGGGGGGGTCGTGAAAGTGGAAGTGAGCTCAAAGGAAAGTCCCCAGCCGGGACTGCAGAGGCCGTCAACCGCCAGCACAAGGACTCACCAAATACTGCACCAGAAAGAGGAAAGGATGCCGGGTGGTTCCGAGTCTCAAGCAAAATAGGATGAGGGAAACTGTCTTCTACAGGTGGCTCCCTCCCCAGGCCTCCAAAAGCCAGGGCTCTACCGTGGTGCGACGTGGAGACGGATGGCTGGGAGGCTGCTGCAAGATTGAATTATTTAGTTTCCCAAACCGAATTACAAAGTCCAAATAGAACTTTAAAGCTTGTTGAGAACAGACAAAACCAAAACCAAAATTTCATTTGGGTGCATGACCACGGAGAAAGAAAGGAAATGGTTCCAAAACGACCCCCAAGACCGCAGAATTTCTATTTCTCTGAGCAGGTTCAGGTGCGAAGAGGACTTGTAGTTTCAGAGCTCCACGCCTGATCCAGGCAGCACTAGCCACCTCTTACACTGTACTGAGCCCTGCAAATACGCTGCCTGCGGAAGCCGCGTGCTTTCGCACTTGTTTGAGCCCAGCCTTGGCTGTGAATTGCCCGGGGGGAACTCGCTGTTTTGGAGGAGGAGGATTCTGCTACGGAGGAACCCGGACACAAAGCAGCCTCAAGCCAAGTTAATAAAACCCAAGTATGAGCCGGGCATAGTGGAGCAGGCCTTTAATCCCAGCACTGGGGAGGCAGGGGCCCCCAGATCTCTGAGAACTGGAGACCAGCCTGGTCTATAGAGCGAGTTCCAAGACAGTCATAGCTACATAGTGAGACCTCATCTCAAGAAATAAAAAAGACCCATGCAGTTGCTGATGAGCACTAAGGGAATCAGGTTGCTCCAATACCCCTGCCCCAAGAATCCCCCATCCTAGCCCCCAACAGACATATATAACCACCACCACCACCACTGGTTAGTTTCCTTGAAACTAGGCTCTTCAAAGATGATTCCCCCAGACCACCCAAAAAAAAACCCCACAAAACAAAACAACAAACAAACAAACAAACACTGACTGGGAGAGTCCCTACTTTTGTGAGCAGCAGGAGCTATTTGTAGTAATAGGAAAGGGTTAATTTGTCCTTCCTTCCTTCCTGCCTGCCTGCCTTCCTGTCTTCCTTCCTTCCTCTTCTGCTCCTTTCCTCCTCCTTAGTTTTATGTTCTTGGATTCTGGATTTTGCAAACCACAACAGAGGGTTGGATTCTCAGTCCAGCACCCTCCTCTCCCAGTGCCTTCTAGTAGGAACTGGCCAGCTACTTGGAGGCTGAGCTGGGAGGGAATCCAGACCTTCCCTTTCCCCATTCTCATCAAACACTGCTCTCCCTAGCCCTTAATGCCATCACTACTACTTTTCTTAAGGCTGAGAGAATGACCCTAAACCATTCTTAAGTGGAGACCCCAACCAGGAGGGGTCTCCATTTAAGAAGATGCCCAAGGTCCAGCAAGGGGGATGGGATGAGGCTGGTGGTGGTGGAGTGGGAGATGAAGTAATAGGGTTTTTGTCAGGATGCAGCGGGCCGCTTATAAATCCCTAAGTTTGCCACACAAGTACAGGTCCAACTTGACTTCGGAGTGCTCCTAAGCACATGGGGAAGCTTAGCAAAGGCGTTTACGGGCTGGAGAGATGGCTCAGCCTTTAAAGGCTAGGTTCACAACCAAAAATATAAGAAAAGGCATTCACCCTTACTTTGGAGATGATCCCAAAGCCATACACTGCAGAGCCTGCCAGAATGCTTACCTCTGCCCTTGTTAGGTCCCCCACAGAAAGGATTCTGACTACCTGACCCCCTTATGAAACCTGCCCTGACAGCCAATCCCACCTCTTCCTTTGATTCATGCAGCCAGAGCGGTCATCCTTGGGAACAGAAGGCCTGCCTTCTGAAGAACTGGGCAGTCAGCTTGGCAGTGGTGGCTCATGCCTTTAATCTCAGCACACAGGAGTTCAAAGGCCAGCCTCATCTACAAAGAGAGTTCCAGGACAGCCAGGACTACACAGAGACCCTGTCTCAACAAACAAACAAACAAACAAACAAACACAACAACAATCACTCCCCTCCAAAACCCCAAAAGAGCAGGACTGTGCTAGAGAGAAAGAAGGCTTGGAAAGCAATGTCCTCAGGAATTAGTTCATAGCTCCAGCTCTAAGGAGGTAGGCATGCATGGCTAGAACCTGGGGAACCTGGGGAAAGGAGGTCCCACTTGAAAATAACATTTACCCACCAAGCAAACTCCCACACGTTTCTCAGCCAACCTGAGAAAGAACTCCAGGATTACAGGGCAAGGCAGCATTTTCCTGCAGAACCTAATTTCTGTCCAGTGGGGAGATGGGGGCATTTAAAAGCAGATTACTTTCCTCCTGTTCATGAGTTGCTACAGTCTCTATACATTCCCTGAGACTTTCTCTTTTTGTTTATTTTTTATGTGTACATGTGCACTGTCCATGCACAATGTGCATGCCTGGGAACCAGAAGACAGAAGAGGATGTCGGATCCTCCAGAATTTTAATTGCATGTGGTTGTGAGCTGTCATGTGGGTGCTGGGAGTTGAACTCAGGTCCTTTGGAAGAGCACCCAGTGCTCTTAACCACTGAGTCATCTCTCTAGCCCCAGACTTTATTTTATCTGCCCACAGCCTAATGCCTTCATCTACTCCTCCAGTCTTGGCTTTTTCTCTAATAGCTGTCTTCTTTTCCAATACCCCAACATTGCTACCTTTCCTCTAAGCCGTGTGTGTGTGTGTGTGTGTGTGTGTGTGTGTGTGTGTACAAACATGAAAGTGGCTTGCACAGCAGAGGGATCAACTGTGTTGGGCTTGCTAGGGAATCTGAGTAGACTTGTGGGCTAAGGGATACAACTGGACAGTGGTGGTATATGCCTTTGCCTTTCATCCCGTCACTCTAGTGGCGTAGGCAGTCAGATCTCTAAGTTCAAGGCCAGCCTGGGCTACATTTCAGGACAGCCAGCACTACAGAGAAACTCTGCTTTGAAAAACCAACCCTAACCCAAGAAAAGAACTGTCTCTCATTATGTAAGGCAGCCTAGATATGTGGGAAAGGTATTTTTCTATAGGGTAGGCATATGAGCATATATAATTATATGTTTGGATTGCCTTAGTTTTGAGAATGATATCAATGATTTGGCTTGTAATACGCGTGCTTTTTAAATTTAAAAAGTATCACATTTATTTTGTTTTTGTGTTGTGTGCATGTGTGTGGGTCCATGCTTAACAAAGCCCACATGTGTAGGTCAGAGAAGAGAGCTCTTGGGAGTCTGTTCTTTCCTTCTACCATATGGGCTCTGTGGAATCCAACTCCAAGTGTCAGGTTTGATGGTAAGTGCCTTCATCTGCTAAATCATCTCATCAGCTCTAATTCTGTGATTTTATTCAATGAGCTGTTCATATTTGGATATGCAGATGTATATATATGTACCACATCTTAAAGTCCGTGTTTGTGTCTGGCAGTGGTGGTGCATGCCTTTTATCCCTTCACTCAGGAGGCTAAGGCAGACAGATCTCTTGAGTTCGTGGCCAGCCTGGTCTACAAAACAAGTTCCAGGAGCCAAAGCTACACAGAGAACCCCCCCCCGGTGGGGGTGGAGATGGAGGGGTGTTTGCAGGTCTATAAATGAGCCTCTTGTCATAGAGGGATACTGGTATCTGACAGCATATATGTGGTGCTTAGATGAAGTTCCTATGTATTTTTGCACATGTGGTAACAGATGCTTGCAGGCATGGATACATGTTCATCAAGGCCTTGTGTACTGTTGAGGCAGGTCCGGTACACAGCCTGGAAGTACAAAGGAGCTAGCCACATTTTCTGTGTCTTTTCAGGATCTATCAAGCTAGATTCACCCCCACTCCCAGATTTTGTCCTGGTTCATGCGAGGCTACAGTTTGAGCAGAGTGCCAGGAAAGGCGGGGCTCAGTACATGCGAATCCCAGACAGCAGATTCCCTCCAGCAGCCTCAAGGGCCTGCAAGAGCTGTGGTGTCGCAACCAAACCGGGGCCCCTGGCGGAAGCGGAAGACTGTACTGGGGGTGGTGAGGCGCAGTCGCGGCGGTCACAGCGTGCCAGGCTCTGGGCACCCGGCGGGGGCGTGTGCGCCACGCGCGTGCGGGACAGGCTAGGCGCCAGGTGGCACCTCCAGGCCCCAGCGTCTGTTTACCAACAAACTACCATCGCTCAGTAGCTATGCATTCCAACGCGCTGAATAAGGAAGCGGCTGGCACTGGCGATCTACTTTCCACTCCCTCGCAGAGCCAAGGCAGCGTGGGGCCAAGCGGGCCCGTGCGACCCGCAGAGCTCTAACACAAGTTCTGAATCTGCGCAGCGTCTCTAGTTACCACGCAGCTTCCCACTCCCCTTGGCCATCCCAGGTCCAATTTCCTAGCACTTTGGACATTGTTATCGAGATTTCCTGAGGCTACCGGTCCGCGCCGAGGTGCACTGCCGGGAGCTCGCGCATCGCACCTCACCCCTCCGGTTTCCCCAGAGTGTGCTAACGGGGAGGTGGGGCGGGAGGGGAGGCGGGGGGGGCGGGCCCAGCTCTGGACCTCCCTGAGGTCACCATAAGATAGCCAATCCGAAGTGTCTAAGTGGGCGGGGGACTCCGTGCGGTCCCGGGATCCGAACCCAGAGGAGAAGATGGGGACCCAGAACTTGAGGGGGGAGGGGAAAAACCACGGGGCACCTCAAAACCCCTTTCTCAGGTTCGAGCTCACTGTCAGAAGAGGCTCAGAGAGACATTTTCCCTGGGATCTGAAGTTTAGGGGTGGCTTGCTGGGGGTGGGAGCTCATCTGCCTCAATTCTGGAAACTTTGAAATGTGTTTGCATAGAGAGTAGACGGCGGCGTGTAGGGCCATGGCCTAGGCCCTGTGGCCTGGCACCGGCCTCAATGACCTCTTTACCCTGTCCCCCTTCCTGGCCGCCTTGTTTTCCCGGACCTCGCCCCCGCTGCCTACCCGCTTGGCCTGTCCCCCGAAACCGCAGCTTCCCCCGATTTGTCCTATTCTCCAGCCTTATGGCCATCTCCTGTCCTATTCCTGCCTTGGGCCAGCAACTCCAGGGGACTCCTACCTGCCCAGCCAGCAACTCTCGGCACTGCCCCCTCAGCCCTTCCACCCGCCAGCAGAACACCCTCAGGAACTCGAAGCAGGTAAGTGTGGCCGCGGAGGCTCTTCTCATTTCTGGGGTCTGAGTTGTGTTTTCATAAATTTCGCCCTCTTCTGCTTGCACGCAGCTAGCGGGATTCAAATATTACTCGGATTCCACGGAATCTGCGGTAGGGGGAGGGAGAAGGAATGGGGGAGGAGCGGAGTCGAGTTGATTTAGGTTTCTTTTTTAAATCCGACCTGGTTTCGATTTGCAGTTTTGTGAGGCCAGGCAGGAGGGCCTCCTACCCCACCCACTGGAGCAGTGGAGTTGTGTGTGTACCTATGTGAAACGGAAAACTGCTATAATCCAGATACGGGGGTGGAGACTCTCCTCATCCTTTAGCCCCTTCCCGACATCATCCTTATCCCAGAAACCAGTATGCAAGCCAAACAAACAGTGGTTAACAGACATCAGTTCCCAGCTGGAGGTAGGTAGGCAACTAGGCGGGGCTCCTTTTCCTTTTCTGGGCCCCACCCCCTTTTTTCCTAGAGGTGCCTAACCTAGTCTGGTAGCTGGACCCTGCAGATTCTGGTGTAGTACCCTACCAACCATTGTTCAAAGAGTAAAGTTACAGACTGGTCATTCTCAAAGTCTTTCCCTGGCCACCTCAGCCTTGCACCTAAGCCATTCCTACCATCTTCACCCTTAACTTTGGGATAGATTAGGTCCAGTTCCTATTGTTGCCTGCAGCAAATCTGAGCTCCAGAGAAAGTGCTCCCTGGAAGGCCTCAGTGAAGGCAAGGGACTAGCCTGACTTCCTAGGCCTGACTTTTGCGTAGCCAAACTGATAGCCCTTGGCAGGCACTGCAAAGATGCTATCCACAGACCCAGTTGTACTGACTTCCCAATCCCATTGCTTTGCTCCATCCAGTTGTCCTTGGCATAATCCCCAACAATGCATATCTGCCAGAGGACTTCACTGTAGTCAGCCCCGCGCCCAGATCTCTCTCTCTCTTTTTCTCTTGTCCCTCTGACATAAATTCATGAACCCCCAGAACCGGAGGTCAACCTAGAATCTCAAATTCCTTGTTTTATGGTTGGAGAAACTGAGGTAGGAAGAAAGGATGTGAATTCATTTTCCTGGAGGAATGGAGCCAAAAAGGGGACTTTAGGGAACTTCTTAGAACCCCCCAGAAAACTAACCCTTTCTTCTGTGGCAGAGCTGGGGGTGGGTTTGCTGTGTTGCTGGGTCTGGTTAGAGGGAGGACAGTGGGGGGGGGGGAAGCAGTACTTTTATACACCTCTTGAACTTTACTTTTAGATATTCTAATATACACTGCAGAAATAGAAACAGGAGGAGCCTGAGTTTGAGGACAGTCTAGGCAACTTGACATATATGGTGTATATGCACGTGGGGACAATGTGTGCTTTTTTTTTTTTTTGAAACCTGAACTTACCTTGGGAGAGTTATTCTGGCAATAAGGTGGAGTTGTCGGTCTGTCTTCCATATTCTGCCTTCCCTTGCTAGGGCCAAGAACAATGGAGTGGAGAATTCTTTCTATTGCATATTTTACCCGGATCCAACGAAAAACCACAGATGCTCTTGTTCACAAGCAAGTATGTCTTTAAAATAGACCTTATCATTTCATTATTGGAACTGTGTGGACTGCCCGTTCGTGAATGAACGATTGGAGAGTGATAGAGGGCTTGGGGTCTGCTAAACCCACACTAGGAGTGCAACTCCGTCCCAGGGAGGCTCTTGGCTCGCGGAGCGCCTCACCAACACCCCATTGAGGCCGCGGGTGTGGCGGCCGCGCCTTCAGGGAGGCTCGGGAGACCCGTTATCGCGACCGGGGTAGATCCAGTCGTGACTTGCCGCAGCTAGTGTGGAGAAAGGCAGCTGTCCCGGAAGTCACCTGGAGGGTGATCTGCTCTGAAAGTTCAGCAGTCCAGACTGTCTTCCTTCCTTTTCTGCGCGTCACCACCCGAACTGTGCGGTCCATGCCGCGGAGGAGGAGCGGATGCTCGTTTGGCTCAGGCGAGCGGTAGGGTCGAACTAAGAGAGGCGGGGGCAAGCTCCAGCAGAAGCAGAAACCCGATGGTTTTTCTGGGAATTGGTTGGGGCTGGGGTCAAAGGGCAGGATCTGAGAGCCCCGCAGCCCCCAAGGTGCGGTGAAGCATGTGGGGGGTGGGGGTGGGTGAAAGCAGTGGTGACTATGGCCTGAGAGCGGGGACCCTGACGCGTGTCGGGTGAACCCTGCTAGGGATGGATGGCGATCAGAAGGACAGAAGCTCCTCCCGCAGGGGTACAACAGGAACGATCTCTTGCTCTTGCCTGGAGTCTTCACAGCAGGCAAGCACCGAATGAGGAATGAGGCGACTGTCAACCCAGCATTTTGTCGTCCTGGGAGGCATTCTGCCTCTTCATCCACGCACTGCTCCCATCCCCTTGGACAGTCTCCATATCCCGTAGAGTAGCCCGGGTTGGGGCCCAGGTTACGGGAATGGAAACCCAAGGCCTGCAACTGAGCTTGGAGAACCAGGCCGTCAGGCAGGGGTGGTACAGGGTCGGGGGTGGGGGTGGGGGAGGACCAGATCTTATGCCACTACCTTACAGCTTAGCCAGAGACTATCTGCGTGGTGGGCTGCTGCATTTTCTGGACCATAGTCACTTTCCCTGCCATGAGGGAACTGCTCTGCACTAGCAAGCCCAGGGGGAAACCAGCTATCATATACACACATCAATCTGGCTTCAAGATCCCTGAAAAGGGCTCCTCTGAGCCAGCCAGCTGAGGGGGAAAAAGGATGGTCACATTTACTGCAGGGTACACTAAGGCTCACTAGCAGATTTATACAGACCTCTCTCTCGGAAGCCAGAGGGAGCCAGGCGGAAACTACCACTGAGCTTTGAGCATTACTTTTAGGTTCCTTGGGCCTTGGATTAGCAGCCCTCCTCATCTTCAGACGGTAGCTCAGCCCTCCATGAGTCTTTTGCCTTCCCTCTATTGCTCTGTTCCAAGCAGGTACCTCCACAGCTATTGAACCCCAGCCTCCCACTGTGGGTGCCAGGGTACCTTTGCTCTGCTGCTCGCTGCGGAGCCCTTAGTGCTTTCTACTCTGGGGTCCCAATTGTGGTAGCTTCAACAGGGCAAGAATGGCAGCTTGAATTCACTGTTGTCAATGTACACAGGAATTGAAATGGCAGAGAAACAGGCAAGGCTGCGGCCATCATTACACACACAGCACGCAAGCTGAAGCCCAGATTGATGGTGGTGGCTGTGATGCTTTTGCTGATTCCCCATGGCATGAGCCTAGGGAAATACTTGGCTCACCTGGTCACTCCACATGCTTACAACACAGCCTTCTGCTGCCTTCCAGAATCAGAGAAACCGGTGCTGTCCCTGCAGCCCTCCCAGCAGCCCCTGACTGGGAAGCTACACAAACCTAGAACAATCTCCTCCAGCCTGCAAGTACAACACCAGAACCAGCGTTTCCAGCATGTGTGCATGCAGTACCTGGCCCTAACATCAAAGCTTGTACTCACCCAAACCCAGGTAGGTCCAGTCCCATCCCTGAGTGCAAAACTTCCTAGTCCCTGGTTTCTGAGAACTTACAGAGGACTCCCATGATTCTGCTGACACAGCTCTCCACTGAATGCCCATAGATGATCCACAGCAGAGGAGAATTGGGCACAAGCAGAGGACACCCAGACCCGAAGTTGGTACTGAGGGACTTCTAGAATGGAGGGCTGGAGCAAAGGTTGGCAGGATTCTCTCTGTAGTTAAGTCCCTTTCCCATTCTCAGCCCTTGCACAACACTTCTAATCTGTCCTCTTTTCTTCCCAAAGGTAAAGATCTGGCTTTAGAACAAACACTCCAAATACAAGAAGCTACTGAAAAAGAACTCTGGAGATCAGGAAGAAGACTTCTCTGGGAGACACCTCTCCTTGTCTCCGTGCTCTCTGAATCCTCCATCCATCTGGGATCTACCCACCGGTGGCTATGACAATGGCTTTGGAGCCTGGTATCTACATCATTCCCCAGATGTGCTGTTCCTGCCTCAGATGATGTGAGTCTGGAGAAGGGCTGGTCAGGCTCCAGCTCTCCTGTCAAGCCCAGGACCAGCACACCTGCCCCCCTTCTGGAAGGAGAGGAAACAAGCTCCAGATGGATTTTTCTCAAGACAAGAAGCAAAAGGAGGAAAAAGAATGGAGTGGAAGTCTGGTTCTCCAAGCCAGATAGCTAAATCAAAGGCTTTAATCTTTGCGCAGGTCCCCAGTGCTGCAGGACATCCCCCTCCAGTAGGAGAAAGGATTTAGAGAGAGCTTCACTGGCTAGAGGTGAGGCTGCTACAGAGTTGCCATTCCTTCACTTTTCAAACCACAGAGGCCCACCACAGCCTAAGATCTAAGTCAGGAAGAGAACAAATAGTATTTCTGGCCGGCACCTTGGGCCCTACCAGCCCATCCATGAACAAAACTGAAAGTGGACATAGAGTCTGTTGTTGGCCACCCTGCTTTTCACCCACCAGCTATTAGCCTATTACCTTCCTAACTGGAGGTGTGGTCCAATGGTCGAGTAAGTGCTTAACATGTAAAAGGCCCCAGCACCAAAACAAAAATATGGAATGCTGGCCTGTGGGCAATTCGTGCTTCTTTTGTTTAAAAGGCCCTCTGTCCCCATTTCTACCCTTTTTGAGCTGATAGGTCCTGGGCTTAATCCTCCATATACATAATACAACCGGTATGTATTCAGAGCATAGGCCCCTCCATCCTTGATGCCTAACAAGTCCACCTGCACATATACTTGGAAGCCTAGAATGAGAAATGGGACAAACAGGTCCTCTGGATCAATGCAGGCATTGCTGCCTCCAAATAATGTGAGGTGTGCCGGTGGTGGTGGTGCAAGCCTTTGATCCTGGCATTCAGGAGGTAGGGGCAGGTGATCTTGTGAGTTTGAGGCCAGCATGGTCTACAGAGTGAGTTCCAGGACAGCCAGGGCTGTTACACAGAGAAACCCTGACTTGAAAAACCATAATAGTAATAATAATAATATTAATAATAATGATGATGATAATGATGATGGAGTAGGCTGGCACTTCAGCTCCTCACAGTTGCCTCTGTCCAAGAATCTGCTCCAATTCACCATTATTCTGTCCAGCATTCCCAGGCACTTGCCATTTCTCAAATGGCAAGCTTCAGAGATTAAAATGTATACAAAGATAAAACAAAGCAGAGCAAGACAAAAACAGCCTCAGTGTCCTGTGTGTTATGCATTATTGTCCCCTGAATTCATCTTGGTTGTTCTAGTTGTTCATCTTTTCTCTGTCATCTTATACATCCTCTCCTTGACCAGAAGTCATAGACACTAGATTTTTTTTTAATAATTTATTATTTTTATTTTATGTGCATTGGTGTTTTGCCTGCACATATGTCTGTGTGAGGGTGTGTGGGCACTGGGAATTGAACCTCTGAAAGAGCAGCTGGTGCTCTTAACCGCTGAGCCCAACGCTAGAGTCTTGTTATGCTTCTGTGCCAGCTAACTCTGTGGTCTGGCTCTGGAATGTCCTAACAGTGCCCACAGCATCATACAAAATGCTCATACAAGGGATGACCAAGGTCAGAGTGGTCTTTGGCGGTAGTTACCTCCTGGGCCAGCTATGGTATGGCGGGAGCTGACCACCTCACAGCCACCATATTCTACTCAGTCTAGGTTTGCCTTGGGAGAGGATTGAACTAGACCAGTCCTTCTGGAAGAAGTGAGCTGCTGGGGCTGGAATAGCTTCAGACTACAGGAAAGGGTGGGAGAAAAATACTAGAAGGAACTGGAATTCTCTGTCTAATACACATCTATGATTCTCCTGCTGGGTAAGTCCTAGGGATACCACCTTGGTAGGGACAGGTGCTTTAGGCTAACACGTGGCTGAACAGATGACTGGAGGCAGTGTGACCAGAGGCAGAGGAAAACAGGACAGAGGCCATGTGGGCACCATCCGGAAGCCAGCCAGTGTGGGCTGATGGGCTTAGGGCTGGGTGGGAAGGCTGGTGAGCTCCCAGAGCATCAGAACCTGGCAGCACTGTGATGCACTCCTTGCCACAGATCCCACCACACATACAGCATGGGGGGTGGGCTGAGGACAGGGTCAGTCATTCAGGGAATTCAGCCCAGAGTAGCCTCAGGGACCGGGGAGGAGCCTCCAATTCCAGGCAAAAGGCTTCAAAGGCTAGTTTCCCTCCCACTGCCTGAACCTGTTCCCAATCACAGCAAACAGAGGGCACCAGTCCCAGGCTGAAAAGCCCAGTAGGGCACTTCCAGTCAACTCCAGGCTAGAAAGAAGCTTGGTTGGGGTCATAGGGAGGACAGAGAGGGTATCACAGTCAGTGGAAGTGTCTCATCTAGGGATGGCTGCAAACATCCCTTCTTTGTCCCTGTACTGGGTCAGTGGTCATACCCACTCCCCCAAGATTTCCCTGTGGACAACAAATGCCAGATCATAGACAGAGCAGAGTGAGTGTGCCCACTGCAAAGGTTCTTTTCCTTTCTTCCTTTCAAATCCTCCCCTGACCCTTAGACCCTGGCTCCATTTCTCTAAAGGGTGCTGGCCCCAAATGGCTCCTCTGGGTCTTCTCTGAGGCCGAGGGCCCTGGGGGTAGCTGTTCCCTGCCATGCAGGCTACACACTCCTCTTTCCACAGAGCAAGATAAGATCTACCGCCCCATCTCGGAAAGCCTCCAAACGCAGATTAATTGGACAGCCCAACACGAGTCGCATAGTTAAAACAACAGCCTGGGTTGTAAAGTTAAGTAGCAGTAGTGTAATTGCTCTCTCAGCCAGAGCGGCCAGCTGAGCCTGCGGCACCCCCCTTCCCTTACCCCTTTCCAGGGAGAATGAGCCACTTTTCCGTTTGGGAGCTGGTCCAGTTGCCTCGGACTTCTGGGTGGTGATGAGTCTGAAGGAATTCCAAGAGGAGAGGTGCCTGGCCTCCACCTTTCTGACCACCAGGGTTACTGAAGGGGAACCCTGTGGTTTCTTCCCAGGGCAAAGCTCCACTGGGGACACAGGCTCAACAAAGGAAAGGGAAGACTGAAGGTAGACTTTGGTCTCCAAAGAGCCCCAGCAGCGATGCTTGCTTTGTGACTTTTGTTGAGTTTCGTACCCTCTCTGTGCTTTATTTCTCATCCCCTCAGACAAGAACATTAATAGGACTTGCTTCGCCATATGGTTGTGATAATGAAATGAGATAGTACTTGTCACAGCCTTGACACAGTGCCTGGAGTACAGCGACCACTTTATACATGACATTCACATCTGCCACTGTGATGACAGGAGAGAGCAGGTCACTCAGGGGGAGTTCCTATAGCCATCTATTTACCTCTTGCTTAGGTAGCTAGCCCTGCCTCCCCAAGGTAGGTAGGAAGGATGGGGCTGGAAATGCACCCCAGCACCTCTCAGCTGATAGAGAGAAGGACTCAATCAAGGTCCCCTACTCCAAGTGGACAGCTGCTTGCCCATCTAAAATCAGCCGAGGCTGCAGAGTGGGCAGTGTGTCCAGGCAGTCACTCCTATGATCTCAGCCCCCCGGGAAAGTGGTCTCCTTCTGGGTAGCTCACCCCCTCCACTCCCCTGTACTATTTTAAGGTATGACCCCCCCCAATTCTCTCCCCAGACCAAATGAGATTCAATTAATTCAATTAAAGCAATTTTGGAAGCAGCTCCTGAAGGCTTTGGATGTGAGCTAATTACCAGTAATTTGCTTCTGTGAAGAGGAAAAGGTTACATGGGGTCTAGAGTGGGGAAGGAGGAGCCCCCTCCTCACCAAATGCACCCAGATCTAGAAGGATTCCACAACAGCAATCTTAGCTGCCCTCCCATTGGCCAAATTGCTTGCAGGTGGGAATAGGGAGAAAGTGGCGGAGGGAGTAGGGTGGGAAGGCGCTGGAGTGACAGGACGCCCCTCCTCCATCCCTGAGTCTTTGTGCCTGTGTGAGGTGGGGGTGGGGAGCTTCCCCCCCCCCCACTACAGGGCTTCATAGCTGATTACTCAGCCCCAGCCTCCCGGGATTTCGGATGCCTGGGCTTGCCTCTGGGATGCGATCCAGAGGCAATGGAATGGTATCCGGGTAACTGAGGCCTGTGCAGAGGGATCTTCAGAGTTCAGGGACCTTCCTAGAATTTATAGAGGATATGGGTCAATGGGGCAGGAACCACTGGAGGTGGACAGTGACTTCCTGTTCCCAAGTCTCATGAGATGCCCTTTCTGTTCCCGCCCATACTCCAGCACTTTCTGATTCTGCCTGGCGTCTAATCCAAACCTCTTCCATTGTCTTGGCAGCAAATGTACTGTCAACTTTCTGGCCCCAGGGCCAGTGAAGCTTCTTCCTCCCCAAGAGCTCATTACAGGTAGGTGTTTCTGACCCCACCTCACTTTGCCTAGGATAGTCCTTTCTTTGCCAGGCCTCAGGTAGTCTAGAAGCTGAGGAGAATAGGGCTGAAGATTGAGGAAGCTAGCGTACCCCATTCCTTGGGACATAATCCCAGGACATAATGCTTTAACAATTAGGATGCAGAAGAAAAGTCAGTCATCCAGAAATGCCCATCATGTCCCTTCTCCCACCTCCCCAGAAGGGTCCTTCAGCTCTTTTTTCTCCCTCCACATCCCCTCTCCCAGCAGCAGGGCTGTTGGAGGTGGGTCCAGTAAATCCTTGAGGGCTGCTGGCTCTTCACAATGGACAAGCTTGGAGAGGGAAGCCTGTGTCTCTGCCATCTCATGCCTCTAGCTCCCATGCCCCAAACAGCTCGGATCCAGCACCAACAGAGGGCTACAAAGACCCCATCATTCTAGAGCTCATGCCTACTGGACAGCCTAAGGATCCTATAGCGCAGGGTTAACAGGAGTGTTGGGAGATAGAGACAAGAGGATCAGGAGTTCAGGGTCATCCTCAGCTCCATAACAAGTTCACAGCCAGCCTGGGCTACATGAGACTCTGTCAAGGAAGGAAGGGGGGGAAGGGAGAAAAAGAAAACTAGCAAGAGGTTGGTGTGATAGTGTATGTCTCTAATTCCAGCATTCTGGAGTCCCAGGCCAGCCAGCCATATATGGTACTCCATCTTAAAACTAAATTAAATAGTAAGTAAATAAATACATATATAAAAAACTCCAGTTTCTCTCTATTGCTATCCTCCTCCCCTCCTCTCTCTCTCTCTCTGTGTATGTGCAATGTGTGTACAGGAACACAGATCTCTTTATTTCGATCCTCTGGCTTTTCTTACCCCATCCCTTTCCCTGGCTAATGTTTTCTGGACATATTTCCCTAGGTGATTCTGGGGAAGGAGGCTGAATGGCCACAGA